GTACACTACTGGAAATGTATTATCATGTGCTGATTCGAATTTAAACTGTTTAAATTAGCGTTAACTACGTCAAGGTTAGCAATCAGCAGACGTGTGCAGCATGTAATGTATTATTTGTATTTTGATGGAGAAAATGTTGTAAGAGATGTACTTCCATGGGTCGCAAGGACTGAAGTTTTGGAAAGCCTTGCAATCATATATGTTATACTGTTTCTCGCTGGATTCATGGTTGCCTGGCTGGCTGACTGACTTGTGCTCATTTGCAGTAGTGATATCATCACGCACATCTGCAGGATGATGTCACCGCATCCCACACCACTGAGCCGCAGTTCATGGTTGCTGACGTCATGCCTGCATCCATCTACCCTCCATCCCGGATGTGTATCTCATGTAAATGAAATAGAGGAGATAGGTGAGGGAGATAGAGAAGAGAGGACGAGATGGAGAGGAACAGAGAGGAGAACGGCAGGGAGAGAGTGAAATTGCTTAAAACGGAGAGGAAAGAGAGAGCAAAACGGAAAGAAGAGAGTCAGGGAAAGTGACAAGCAATGGGTGGGAGGATTAGGTGGAGAGGCAAGATTGGTTGAGACAGGAAAGGGAGAGGTGGGAATCGGTAAAGTGAGGATGATCGGTGAGAGATGAACAGGGAGAGGGGGCAGGGAAGTGGGTGAGATACAATGGCGGGAGGAGAGGAATATAGAGGGAGTAAGAGGTAGATGAGGGGACGGGAATAGAGAAACGGATAGAAACAGACAAAGCAATACATCAAGATAATTTGGGATACAAAGTACAGAGAAGGCAAGAGAAAGGTCGAGAGAGATGGGGCTCTAAATGAAAAAAAAGGCTGGCTGGGAGGGACAGACGGACAGTCATGTCCCAAGGACGTGTGGGTTCCTGGTGATTATATAAAATGCAAGGGTGGTCTTTGGCATGTTGTATGGAACTTTAGTAAGAGGGCTTTCAATAAACACAAACACTTAAAAAGGAATACACTTTTTGGCAATGTAATACTACTGTTGTAGTACCACCTTAAGTTTTGAGTATTTGTGTACATCCCTCCTTGCAGGTGAACCTTTCACAGGCTGACCTACAGGCCTTGGGAACTGCTATTGCAATGGTAACGCAGGATGGGACCACTATCACTATGCCATCACACAGCCCTAGCATGACGGATGCTGTCACCATGGTCTCCGAGGGTTCCGAGTCGCAACAGGTAATGGCAGACTTATGTTGTATGAGAGTTTTTTTACAGCTAGGAGGTAACATCAATGAGATCCGTGTGCGGAATATAGCAAAGCAACAATACAACAGTCAATTTACAAATATTACGTTATATTCTTACATGGCAAGCCATAAAATTTTGATTTAAAGCTTTCGTGACTGCAGTAATTCATATTCTTAGTTTTTTCGGTAAAGTCACGTTGAAGAGAAACAACAAAATAACAAAATATATATAAAACAATAAAAAATTCTCACGACGTTTCGACCACACGGTTTGCAAACCGACACACCTGATGATGACCGTTTGAGTTATGGTCGAAACGTCGTGAGAATTTTTTATTGTTTTATATATATTTTGTTATTTTGTTGTTTCTCTTCAACGTGACTTTACCGAAAAAACTAAGAATATGGCAAGCCATGTTTAGTATACTTAAACGTATATTTTTTAAGTAACAAAAAAGTTATTTGTTACCATTATAACATACTTGTTAAAATGTACAGTTTATGCACATAATGTCAAATATCAATATAGAAATGTTTTGTTAATGTTTGTGATGAAGGTTAAAAATGAGAGCACAATGAAGACGTGTTTTTTTTTTCTATTGTAGGTAACAATTGTGACGGAAGGATTGTTAGACCCATCGATAACCAGCATGAACTCCAACAATGTGGACAAGATTGTCATCAGAGATGGCTCGCCTTCCGTCCGCCTTGTTGCAACAACTAATGGCACACAGATTGCCGTTCAGGTGCCTAAAGATGATACATCCTGCACCTACCGATCTTTCAAATTTTAGCAAATGAAGCATATATATTAATGTGAACGCTAAATCGAGTACACAGCCACATTAATGTAATTATCTTGTTAATTTTTACACTTTTCTCTTTTTTAGCTTGAAGATTCCCAGTCCTGAGGACTGCACGGGAAGTGATGAAATGCCTATGCCTGCAGAATTAATTTCACTAGAAGTGTTATGAGAAGCCATGAGCCAGATGGTGGACAGCGGTTGTACCAGCTTCAAAAAAGAATACAGAAGAAATCTGTTGTTGGCTGTGAATTGCACGAAAGTTAAGACTGGTCTGCAATATTCTAGTTCCACGGGAAGAAGGAAGTTATTTGGACATCTGGAATATCGGTGCATATATAAGATGTGGTTTTTAAAAATTGTGTAAAATGGGATTTTAAAGCAGTGCAAATGAACACTGGTACTTCCCAATCACTCGTGCGATTGGTGTGGCTGCTACATACGAAATGTCTATAATAAAGTGACGGATGCTCTATTATTCCCATGTCGCGATGACTTAAAGTTTTCACAACATGTTACCATATAGCTTTGTTCATGGACTTGTTTAATACATTTAAAAGAACCTCAGGGTGACAACATGTATTTTACCTACATGACCTGAAGATGGCGTTAGCACAAGAATTAGGCTGCTTCAGCAGCTATCGTTATGCAGCTCATGGGGTTATATTTGCTATAAATATCCTTTTTGTGGGTAGTTTTCAGACTAAATCGCTGTGCGGATGAAAAAGCTTAAAGGACAACATTTGCCATCATTTTTCGTTGAGAAATGCTTGGTTTTGCCAGGAAAAAATGCTAATTTTACCAAATGGTAGTCGATACCAGTATAGAATTAGTGTATTTAGCCATGTCACAGACTCGAGTGTCACTGTGAATATCCCGAATTTGCATTTTTTCCTTGAATGATTATTCATTTTTTGGTAAAATGCTGTTTGCTAAGGGTTTATTTTGTACAATGCCTTGCCAATAAAATGAAATATCAAGTGTGCAAATGTGTCTATGAATATTACTCATAAAATGTAAGCATTGATAATTACATTGTAACTATCCATACTTTTTGCCAACAACTTTGGCAGTTGATGCAAGTTTGTGAACTTATTTTTGTTCTCTTTGAATTCGACGTGACTAAATGCCATATTGTCAACATTTTTTTAAATAAAGAATATTCTTAGGTTCATTGCCTGTAAAGTAACCGATATATTTTTTTCTCTTAGGGCAGTTATTAACAAATGTGCCTTTTTAGTACATTATTGTGCATCACTGCCAACGCAGCATCACCAAATAAATGTTTTCTATATATAAAAAAAGGTACGCTGGTGCATGCCCCGACAAATTAGTGCAGTTCTAGATTAATTTCAAAACCAACTATGCAAAAATGCATTGGTATATAATAAACGGAAGTAAAGGATGTTATATAAAAATACAAGCTTTTAATGCCCTGCCCAAATGCAATTATAACGACATTAAATAGTTTATAAGTACAGTATTTAAATACTGTATTCCGAACTGCTTTAGAAGGTTCTATTACTATACAGTTACTTGGCAGGCCCAATGTGTAAAAAAAAAATGCTAAAATTATGTCCATAAAAATTTTACACTTTTTAGAAAGCGTTCAATATCGGTATGCAGTGAAGTAGTAAAAAAAATCGGCCACTTAAGTTAGGGTTGGCGATTGTGTAATTTTATGGGGTTTTTTAGCTACAAAATATTCTAGCTGTACTGACAAATAGACTATTTTTAGTCCACTTTGCTATTGATTTCTTTGGACATTCAAAATTAAACTTTCAGGCAGTCGACATGAATTTCCTCAACGCAACCTTAAACATTTCAAGTGATTTTCATGGACATGTATTTAAAACATGACAGCATACTACATTAATGATGGGAGCTCAGCAAGTTTTTGAAGAATATCATAAACCGGTTCGTGTTTAGTAAACTAACAAAAATAATATGCGAAGAATAGTATATTTAAGCAATGGCCAATGCAGCTTTGGAATACAGCGTAAGCAGAATGCGTGATAGACAATACCATCGTTGCATTGCCGGATTAAGCTAGTGCAGGGCCTGTAGGATATGTTATAAAGGGGCCCTACATTTTTTAAAAAATATTAAAACATTCATTTTTTACTTGCACAGTAAAGTAATTGTATTTTTCATTTGCGATACAGCCAGATAATACGACAAATCGCTAACTTTAAACACCCAGTCGTTCGTCAAAGTTGAAGGCAGTATAGTACTATAGTAATAGAGCAAGTGCAGAATCACTGAACCGGCATTGATAGCTTGAAAGTGTAGCATATGCTATTTTTGCTACTCGGATAATCCAGCACTGCATCGTTGTTCATTCTTGTTTTAGCGTTGAGCATATGTTTAAAGTTTAACATTGTGTCGTGCCAGCACCCTTAAGGTCACGCTCCAGCAATGTCATAAACTCGTTAATAAATTAATGAGTGGCTTTGGGGGTGTGTGTGGGCGTAGCCGGAGTTAGCCCTGCCCCACCTCCTCCTCCTGCTCCACCTCCTCCTCCTGCTCCACCTCCTCCTGCTCCACCTCCTCTTGCTCCTCCTCCTCCTCTTGCTCCTCCTCCTGCTTCACCTTCTGCTCCACCTCCTCTTGCTCCTCCTCCTGCTCCACCTCCTGCTCCACCTCCGCTTGCTCCTGCTCCACCTCCTGCTCCTCCACCTCCTGCTCCTCCTCTTGCACCACCACCTCCTGCTCCTGCACCTCCTCCTCTTGCTCCTCCTGCTTCACCTTCTGCTCCACCTCCTCTTGCTCCTGCTCCACCTCCTGCTGCACCTCCTCTTGCTCCTGCTCCACCTCCTGCTCCTCCACCTCCTGCTCCTGCTCCACCTCCTCCTCCTGCTCCTCCTCTTGCTCCACCACCTCCTGCTCCTGCACCTCCTCCTCCTGCTCCTCCTCCTGCTCCACCTCCTGCTCCTCCTCCTCTTGCTCCTCCTCCTGCTGCTCCTCCTCCTGCTCCACCTCCTGCTCTATCTCCTCCCCTTCACCGGCTCCAAGCAGCCCGTGACAAAGTCGCCCGAGCCACGGGTGGCTGCGGCGTGTCCGTACCGTCGAGAGGGTGAAGGCGGATTACACGTGGGTGGGTGAGTGAGTGGGTGAGTGAGTAAAGGGGCAGGGCGAGAAACGTGAAGGAAACAAGCCCAGCCACTGAACCAGCCACACCACAGGCACCACAACCGTGCCAAAGTCGTGGTAGAGAGGGGAAAGTTGGGTGGGGGGGCAAGTGGAGAAATAAAAATAACAAACCTCCCCCCCCCTCTCCTGGAAGCATGGCCTTGAGAAGCGAGCTCCTCAAGTCCGTGTGGCATGCCTTCACAGCCCTGGACACCGAGAAGAGTGGAAAGGTGTCGAAGTCTCAGCTGAAGGTGAGTGGAGAGTGTAAAGAGGCGACTTGTTGTTGTTGCAAGATCGTGGGTTGCGTGCGACGGGGGAGCCTCGTGGGAAACTGCAAACGTGTGTGTGTGGGGGGGTTATCTTTTTATACACAACGAGGTGTATTTTTTTGTGGTCACAGGGTTGGCGTACGTAACTATTATATTCTTGGTTCTTTCGGTAAAGTCACGTAGAAGGGAAAAAATATATATATGAAATAATATAGAATTTTTTTCCCTTCTACGTGACTTTACCGAAAGAACCAAGAATATGAATCCCTGCAGTCACGAAAGCTTTAAATCGAGTGGCGTTTGTGTTTTACAGCGCACGATGTGAGTTCTATATTATACATAGTACATTCCTCGTGTGTGCCATGCCGTGTTGCTGAAGTTTGTGTGACAAGACTGGCGTTGTCCTCGGTAGTGAAGTGGTGGTTCGTAACTACAGGGCAACCCGCTCGCCTTGATTTTGTTTGTTGTTTGTTAGTTGTTGTTGTAATGTTGTAGTCTGTACACACGAAACTACGTAGTAGTTTCACGCAGAAGCTCCTGCTTAGACAGCGGCCACAGAGTTCGACTCTACGGCCACGACCAACAAACTTGGTGTTAGAACCCTCCACCACCACCCACCCCCCTTTAGCTCAACCTCGCTTTATAATTGCTTAACTTTCTTTGTCACTGGGTAATTATATCAGCACTGTGGGGGAGAGAAAGACAAAGGCGGCTGCGATCGGCGACGAACCACAAACATCATCGTGTTTAGTGGCGGCTCCCGGGTTAAGATGAGTTGGCTCGCTCTCACAGCACTTTGTCCCATCGTCTTCGTCCTAAGCAAGTCTCTTGAAGGGCTTCCTTCACGTGTAGTGTGTTTTGTTGATGTTGTTGTCTTATATAAGCTGTGCGTGTGTGTACGGTTTTTTTAAGTAACGTAATCGATGAATGTCGGGAGACGGAAACTTCCTTATTCTCCTTGTTGTAAAACTTGCTGGGGATGAATGGACGACGGCGACTACGTTGTTATTCCTTTTCTTGGTTCTTTCGTTAAAGTCACGTAGAATGGAAATGAAACAATACTAATAAAGTAAAATTCTCATTTTTATTTTATTGTATTTCCATTCGACGTGGTGACTTTACCGAAAGCACCAAGAAGATGAATCCCAGCAGTCACGAACGCTTTAAATCGAAAAATGACGGCGTTCTTGTTCCCCTGGCGGCCAAAACCACCACCACCACACACCACCACACACACCACCCGTTCTGACTTGTTAATGCTGAATAGTTTAACACACATTTGGACCATTCGTTTCGTTAATAAAGACGGATCCTGAGTCAAATAGAATAACAGAAACCTCCTCCCCTCCCCCCCCCCTCTTGTGTGTGTATGTATGTTGGACTTTCTGATTTAAAGCTTTCGTGACTGCAGGGATTCATATGCTTGGTTCTTTCGGTAAAGTCACCACGTAGAAGGGAAACAATAAAATAATACAAATATAAAACAATACAATTCTCACGACGTTTCGACTGCAACACAAGCAATCGTCATCAGGTGTGAAAACCACAGCAAGAAAATTTGAAACAAGTGGCGGTGACACAAATTTTCTTGCTGTGGTTTTCACACCTGATGACGATTGCTTGCGTTGCAGTCGAAACGTCGTGATAATTTTATTGTTTTATATTTTTATTGTTTCCCTTCTACGTGACTTTACAGAAAGAACCAATAATATGTTGGACTTCTTTCGCACCGTACGTAGCTGGGGGGGGGGGGGTTAAGGACAACAAATTGAACTCAAAACGCAGTTCAATAGAAATTTAAAGTTTCTCAATCTATCCGTGGTGACCTGTTGGTGAGACCGTCATCGCAGATCAATTATTATCCGCTATTTTACTCCACTTATAAGGGGATAATTGGGATTGACAAAGAGAAGTGGCGGGTAACGGATAATGAGTAGAGTTTATTTGAGTTTAACACGTATGCCTTCGCGACCAATATCATCCATAATACAAGCTGTTTTGGGTTTAGATCGCGTAAATATATTAATGTGTCGTTAAACCCGCCACCACCCGACACAGCCAGCTAGTGAGTGTTGTCATATAATCAGAACGTGACAATTCGTCACTAGTACAGCACTAGCGTGTAGTGTAGTGTAGTGTGTAGTGTATAGTGTAGTGTATAGTAGTGTAGTGTATAGTGTAGTGTATAGTAGTGTAGTGTATAGTGTAGTATACTAGTGCATAGCTTCATCAGGCGACAGCCAGATTTGTGGATACGTCCACCTGTTTATGTTCCGTTTACGTTTCTGTTCTGTTTATGTGACAACCCTGATGAAGCTAGTTGTAATTACTGGCGAAACGTCGTACTCAGATTGTAAATGTTGTGGCTTGGCTCTCCAACGCACCGGTGTGCTGTACTAGTATACTACACTATACACTACTATACACTACACTATACACTACACGCTAGTGCTGTACTCGTGACGAATTGTCACGTTCTGTTTATATGACAACACTTACCAGTTGGCTGTGTCAGGTGGTGGCGGGTTTAACGACACATTGATATATTTACGCGATCTAACCCGACCAAAAAACTTGTTTCATGGAGTTTATTTGAGTTTACTTAAACTGTGTGGCTGCATCAGCGTTTTGGTGCGTGCAGGTACTCTGTTTGATTCCCGTTCACGGTCAACATCAACGACCAATATCTAAACAGGTCCTGTGCCTCCCCGAGGTATACTCGACCTTAAATGGTGCAATGTACCTGGTGCGATGTGTAAACATCGCCGCGAAGGGAGACAAAGGCGGCCGGGCGTGGTGCCGACCAAATAGACGAAATAACTGGGGATCTTTGTGACGGAGTTTGATGATAACACACGGTCTCATTCGATCATTCTACATAGGCAAAGGTAGTGGTTTGAGGTTTAATACCTAGTTTGTATTATTTATTAAGACGAGGCAAGCACGGTAACTTTTCCAGTAGTTCAACTGCGCTCTTCAGGGCTTAATGTCGGCAAAAGAAACAATATATAAACACGCAAGTTGCTAAGCACATGCCCGAATCGTCAAACGGTGCTATTAAAGTGGTGGCAATAGAGCAGAGTTCACACGCCTCTTGATGTGGACGAGGTTATTTATTATCAGACTGCCGGGGGTACATCGACCGTGGGCGGTGAATTTGAAAGCCAGTATCGTGCCAGAACGCGTGGGGTGACCTTGCAGTGTTGTGTGGTGGTTGAACGTGCGGGTGGGGATGAAACAGTCTGGCAGACCGAATACTCAACGTGGCTGGGAGGAATCGATGCGTGAATGTTCACGGAAACAGAAAAAAAACCATGGAAAGTAGCGGTAGAATATTCGTCGCTGATGTTGACCGTGAACGGGAATCAAACAGAGTACCTGCACGCACCAAAAACGCCGATGCAGCCACAGTTTAAGTAAACTCAAATCAACTCCGTAAAACAAGTTTTTTGGGGGTTTAGATCGCGTAAATATTTAAAAAACCAGCCACCACCCGACACAGCCGATTAGTAAGGGTTGTCACGTAAACAGAACGTAGCAAATTCGTTTGCTGAACCGCTGGTGAACGAGTGGCTGGAGTGAATCGGTGGAGTGGCTGGGTAATCAATCGATGCACAATGAAACATTACTTGGCGATACAGCGTTGGCAGTGGGGGCACGGCACACAAAACAAAGCAAACAACTGAACACACTCTTCAATGAAGTTGCCTTAAGAGGAAGAATATAACTTGATTTGGAGCTTTCCTGACTGCAGGAATTACTCTTTGGTTCTTTTGGTAAAGTCACGTAGAAAGAAAAAATAAATTGAATAATAGCATACGACGTTTCGATCAACAACAAGCAATTATCATCATGAAAGAGACTCTCTGTGTTGGATTGCATTATATTTCTGTGTTTGCTGGGTTTTCTCTTTCATTTGTGCCTGATGATGATTGCTTGTGTTGCAATCGAAACGTCGTATGCTATTATTTAATTTAAAAACATTTCTACGTGACTTCACCGAAAGAACCAAAGAGGAAGAATATATATAATAGGTAACGTTTTGGGGCACTGGCCCTTTTATAACAGAGAGGCCACAGAGATGATGATGAACGTCGGTAGTGAGGTAGGAACTGGGTCCTCCACCCCAGATATCACAACAGGAATCCTACTTGGCCGAACGTCTAGCAGTGATACGTGTTCGGAGTTAGAGATGAAGACCCTTGCCACCGAAAAGTAAACCAAGCTTCGATGCCTCCTTAGTCAGATTTGTGACATAACCATGCCATCACAGGTCATATGAGGGTTGTGCCAAGCAGATGAATGAATGGCTTTACTATGAATGGGAATAACATTGTTAAATATAGTTTGAGGAACTGTGGGATTTCAAACCTGACATGATAATGATAAAAATTAAATCTAAACGAAATTCCAGTGCATTACAGTGCAGTAAGTGGAGTATGCCTGTGAATCCAATCATTCGGAATGCGTCACATTTTGAAAGCCAAGCAAGGGGTTTAGAGCTTGGATAGTGGGAGACTGCCATGGTCAACATTCATAGAGGGCTGGCCGTGAGGGCTATGTGGTGGGCAGCAGAGGGGCAGTGCGGCAACATCCATTGTTGTACTCTACTTCTGAGCTCCAGCCAACCTCTCTGCTCAACACAATTACCAACCCATGCTGCGTGAGCATGATGCATCGGCGAGGACCTCATCCAGCAGCGGATTGGCAAATTTGCTGTGGACATGTGTACAATTTGGCACGAACGACACATGCTCTGGTTTCGTTGAAACGCACATTGGTAACATCAGTTACTCTTATCACGGGGTCAAACACTGTTAACAACGGATGTGTAAATCATAAAGTCCCATAACTTCACGTAACACAAGATATTACTTTAATCTAGATTTGAAGTTGAAAAAAAAATATTGCTGTCGTTTTGCCACCTGATGATAATTGCTTGTGTTGCAATCGAAACGTCGTGATTTAATCTATTTTATTTT